CCGTGGTGCGCACGCTGGCCACGCACAGGTAGAGCGGGCCCAGGGCCCTTCACGGGGTCGCGTGGGGCTGGGAAATGGCACGGGCCATTATGGGCAAAATGTGCGGCTTTTCTGTTCGGGAAGCAGCGCTGCGAGACAGCAGTTAAAATCTCATTGTGAGTTTGTAACAACCGTGGTAGGCATACTGCTAAGTTGTCACGATCACACTGAAAATAAGAAGGATGAAGGAAGTTAGATAGGAATGTGCCTGCTCACCAGGGGGAAACATCAGTCCTGCCCTGTTGCCTGCTCCCTGTGGGGAGCTGTTGTCCCCTCCACACTTTGTGCATCATCACCAAGGTTTTGGTGCCTGCTGAGCAGCTCAGTGTCTCTCCACCTCCCATTCTGCCTTATGATGTTGCTGATGCTTCTACCACAGCGCATTTTATCCAGAATCCAGGCAAAGTCCATCCCTAGCTCCAATCCTTGTGTAGCACCCAAGTGATGGAGAACAGATCTTGCTACTATCGATGAAGGACAACAGACCAAGGAAAAATGTATTAGCATTGAGGGTGACAGAGCACTGGAACAGGATGCCAAGAGAGGTTGTGGAGTCTCCTTCTCTGGAGATCTCCAAGGGCCACTTGGACACAGTCCTGTGCCACGTGCTCTAGGTGACCCTGCGTGTGCAGGGGGGTTGGACTAGATGACCTCTAGAGGTCCCTTCCCACCTTAAGCATTCTATGACTCTGTGACTTTATGTGGTAGAATAAACATCAGAATCGTGACCTTCAAAACACCAGGCTGCTTGGGGTTGTTCCGTTTTTAATAAAAGAAAGACAGATGATTCTTGAAGGTTTAGCCATACACAGAGTGGATATTCTGGTCAAAACTCAGATCCATTTCACCAGTGCAAGTTTGGAAGAATGTTCTCAATCTTGATCCAGATTTTAGGAAATTAGCAATGAAAATTTGATCTACTGTGCTGTTGTGAAGAGCCAAGTTATTAACCACAACTGCACATGTAATGTGGCAGGCTGAAAGAGTTTTTCCCCCCATTACTTGTCACAATTTTTTAAAGCCATGTATTTTATCCGGGGGGGATGCTCTAGCTCAGACGTGTGTGCAGAGCAGCCCGCTGTGCGTGGCTCCCTTTCCATGTCCTCGGGCTGCTGTAGCAGTCAATGGGTGGTAGCTTCCCTCGCGCTTCTCGGGGTAGCCCTTGCGAGGGGTTCACGGAGGGGCCGGCGGAGCTCGTATGCAGAGAGACGGAGCGATGCCCCAGGCCGCAGACCCACGCGCTGACCCGCGACTCCTCTTTCCCCACACAGCAGCCCCTTCAACGACAGGCCGATGTGCAGGAGCTGCCAGGAGGGCAGCAGCCAGGAGGACCTGCTTTCTCCATGCGAATGTACGGGGACCCTGGGGACGATTCACCGCAGCTGCCTGGAGCACTGGCTGTCCTCCTCCAACACCAGCTACTGTGAACTCTGCCACTTCAGGTTTGCAGTGGAGCGCAAGCCCAGGCCCTTGGTAGAGGTCAGTAAATGGGGCATGTCCTCAAAAGCTCAGCTTTAATGAGCAAATAGTGCTGTTTTCATACAGGAAGCACAAAGCCTTTGCAGCTTCACCAAAGCAAGAGAAAACTGTGAGTTTTGGGCTTTGCGAGACAAGGGCAGGAGCTCAAGGAAAAGGGAAGAATACCAAAACCTTTATTTTGAAGCAAATCAATACACGCAAGAAGAATGGGATTGACGTTTTTACTTTACTGTAAACTGGGGAACAATGTGTAGCAAACACACACTATACCAAGGACCCTGGTAGAGGCTGGTAGAGGGATGTGATAGGACAAATTAATGGTTCATCTGTGCAATGCCAGACAAGCAGCAGTATTCAGAATATTTAATATAGTCAGGATCATCTTTTGCCTTTCTTTGAGAGGCAGAGAAAGGAAGAAGCCCTAGAAACCTAGCTTCAGTGTCCAGCCCACAAGCAGGAATTGTTCTTGCTCAGTCTCTGGCCTTTTTAGCAATTCTTAAATGACCTTTTGGCCTCCTCTTGCATGTGTACCAGACTAGACAGTGAATTGGGCAATTGTTTCTCCCTTATCAATTTAAATTTAGTTATTGCCAGCTATAGATGTTTCAGTGGCTGCACGATGCTTTCCAGATCTGTTTTTATCCTCAGGGGGAAAAAGAAGATGGCCAAGACCATTATCTTTTCTTTGCTAGTGTTCTTCTCTCCTCTATTTTCATCTGAGATAAAAGTGAAATTTGTATTTCCTTTTAGAAACAAAAATTACAAATAGTGACATTTTATGAAAATAATGAGAAGCGTCTTAGTGTATCAGTTGGTGACACAAATACTTAAAAACTAAGATTGGATTACATATATCCTTCCTTTACATCCTAACTGTCACTATAAGCTGTAGTAGAACTAACTGAAGGAAACACACTAGCAAGAATAAGGGTGAGTGGGAAATTTTGTTTTCCGCTTATTCAAGGACAAGAGGATGCAGGGTGAAAATCAGTGCTAGAAAATGGGTAAGAGGCTGGTGTGGATACCGGGTGAAAAGTCCTTACTGAAAACTGCCCAAAAGGTGTTTTTTTTTTTGTTGCTGGATTAAGTAGTTGGACATACGTCTGTGCCTAATTTAAGGATATCTTTTATTATTCTTTGGAATCAGCAATTCTGAATATAGTGCTGGATCCGTAGCCTTGCCAAATCCTAGCCAGGGAAAGCTGAGGCCAGCTCTGCTCCAAGGGCAGCTCCTCACTGCTGCTCCCAGCACAATTCCAAGACCTCCTAGGAATCTGGTCTCAAGAAATGCTGATTCTCACTATTCTCAGGTCACTGGTGACTAAATTTCCAAGCCCTTTTTGCTTATCAGTCTCCTGATTTTCTTTTGGTCACCTTCTCTGGGCCTGCATCGAGTGATTTTCACGTGCAGGCAAGGGGGATTTTGGTGCAAGGACCAAGACCGTTTGTTTTGCCTTCTAATGCAAGCAATGTGGAGACAGCTCAGTTCTGGAGTCCAGCCTCTCCAGGCTATTCCCTTACAACTGCCATGCACAGTTTCTTTGCACAAACGGAATGTGAGTTTTTCAGAACTAGCGTCAACTGAAGGCGTTGAAAGCGAGAGCTACCCCTGCCCAAGCTGGGGGAATCCAGCTGCTTGATCATTCCTTGATGAAGTGAGTTTTCTTTTTGACAAAAAACAATAGTAAGAAAAGCTGCCTTTGGTTTCTGAAGTGAAGATAAGTGAGAAGCAGGTACAAGAACACTTTGAAACACAGCACACGTTGTTAAATTATGTTTTTCTCTTTACTACCCAGCATTTACTGCCTATCAGCTCCCACAGCTACTTTTTCCTTTTAAGGCAGTGATCAACAGTCAAGAGCTGTTGCAGGAAAGGTCATAATAAAAGGATACTGCTTTTTAACTTTTTACCGAAAAAGTTCTCTGTGATCTTATGCAAGGAGAATGTTTTTGATTTAGAAAGGAATTTGAGCTGTACTTTCAAAGCTGAGAAGAAACAGAGAGTAACTAACATGAATCATAAGGAAAAGGACAAATCTGGGCAGAAAGAGTCATTTCTGTTAGTGTAACTTAGGCTTGTACTTAAAGTTGTGCTTATTTATACACATAATGCCGTTAAATCTGAAGCAAATAACCATAGCGAATCTGAAAGCTTGAAAAGCATAACCAAAGCTAGTATGGGAGCAGATTCTCTCAGTCTGTGCCCTAAAAGCACAGTGATGTCTGCACTGCTTCCCACGCGAGGGAAGGGAGAGCAAAACATCAGTCTGAAGAGGTGGCCGGACACAAAAACCTGCTGGAACTCTGGCGCTGGTGCCAAGCCAGAGTGAGGACCTGCTTTTGGCTCCAACCTGTGCTGACAGATGGGGTGGGAGGAAACTGGGGAAGGGTAACAGCACTCCCACTACGTGCTGGCACAGCTCAAAACGTGAGGGCAAACCGGAGGCAAAGTTACCTTCATTTAGCAAGATAGCTAGTTGCTCTGAACTAGGCAATGGAGACGGTAAATCAGTCTTTCAGAGAAGGTGAATGGTAAGTTTACCTATGCATTTTAGGAGGCTTAGGGTGACTATTACACTCAAAGTCATTGGTAGAACATAGCTATATAGAAGATTTATCCCATAGTTCCTCAGCAGGCCATATTTCCTAATGAGAAAATATCCCGTCTGTTGGTCAGTGATAAGTAGCATAAAAATGCTTTAAGCAATCAGTCATCATGTGCTTTTCTCCTCCAGATTTTCCATCATTCTGTCTATTCAAAGAAGTATTATTCACTTTATCGAAGGAGCCAAATAACAACAATAACAAAATGTTTTCTCCCTATCCATTTACTGCATAGCTCATTGCTTTTATGGGACTTAGCCATGAGTGTGGGGGAAATCTCAACAGAAACAAACTGAGATACTTCACTTGTACCGCCTAGAAATGTCACATCTGAGAAGTGCTCGTGCTGTTAGCACCCAGGAGATGCCACAGCAGTACTGGGCTTGCAATGAAATGAGCAGTAAGGAGCACGGCTTCTCCCCCAGCCATATTCCTCCCTCCCCTGCGTACGTCCTCATGGAGGCAGTCAAGGATTTCTTGCTGCGCTTAATGATTTCATCGGAACACGTTAGTGAACCCACTCCATTTCTTCCCCTCATCTTGCTGGTTTGCAATTAGTTCATTATTATAGGAAAGTGCTCCATAATAATTCACTGGCAGTATGGCTTTTTTGCTTCTTGTGAGCAATGTTTACTGGAAGATGCAGGCCGGGCACTTGCACGAGGGCTCTAGTGTGGGTAGTAGGAACATCTCTACAGCTACGTCCTGACTCCTGCATAGCTCATGTGAAAACACCGTGATCCCACACCTTTGCCTTCTGTCAGATATCCAGTTAGGTTAAAGTCTTTTCCTCCCCTACCAGCTTCTCTGGGTCAGCTGAGTTAGCTACTTGTCACAAGAGACATTCCTTGATCTGTGACATATGGCACGCGTCTGCTGTTTGGCCGAGAAGCATAACCCAAGAAGTGTACAGTCTGCTGACTGTCTTAGGCCAGAATGACAGAAAACACGGCAGTGCAGTCTGCCAAACAGAGGCATCCTCTCAACCCTGAATGTGGGAAGCTTCTGACATTCTTGGTTCCGCTTCTACTTTTTTGACCCAAATTCTTATCCCCAGAAAAAATGTTTCTGAGCCATGAATCTGGCTTCATAGCAGAGGACTGGCCCCATCTTCAGTTTCCAGGGAAAGTGATTTGTTTGTCACCCTCCACCTCTTGTGGCCCAAGACCTGGTTCTGTGAAGCAGCTGTGTGAGCTCAAGTCCTCTGACTCTGAGAGGTATGGATAGCCCAAGGAAGGAGGAAGAAAAAGAGCAGATTTGGATACCTCTGTGCCTCCCAGCCTCACTCCAGCTACGCAAGATGAAGCCAAAGATGCACCCCCCGGGGAGGTGCCTGCGCGTCTCCTCCTCCACAGAGGTTTGCCAGAGGTTGGTCAGCCAAAAGCAGTTGTCTTCTTTGCATTCTTCCTTATCTCCACACAGTGGTTTCCATTTGTCAGGAGTGCCTTGTGTGTAGGAATCATTCGTCCCTCGAGTCTTCACCAAACAGTCTGACGAGTGGCTGCTGCACTGTGGACCAGGGCAGGGAGAGAAGAGGAGCCCCCGGTGCCTCACCTGGCATTCCGCATTTACATGTCCTCAGCTGGGTGGCCTGGCCTGTGCACCCGGCTAACCACATCCTGCCAGATGACCCTGCTTTCCGTGGGACTGCTGCTCCATGGCTGGACGGGGGCTCCCCACAGGACTCAAGATCTCCTAATTTCTCAGCCACTCATGAACTTGTTCATGGCAGGAGCCTTGGAGAGAATATGAACAACTGTTGCAGAAGAGTAAGAGATGTCATGTGCTATTAAGAAAAAGGAAAAGGAAAAGAAAAAAAAAATCATTTTGGGGAGTGGGAAGGCGATGTAAATAGTCCTTCTGCTCCTGTGTCTGCTGGAGGGCCCCCAGCAAGTTCTGGCACTGAGAAAAATGAAACGACCAACAGATAATCTGCTAGAGCAGGACCTTGTTGTACCGCCACTGGAGTGGCCATTTGGAGTCCTATTTACACAAGACACCATGATGCTACTGAGGCAGCCAGCAGACATCAACATTGCAGGTGAAGCCCCTTTTCTGTTGATCTCAAAGCTCCTCCTCCAGGAAGGGGGATTGCTTGGAGTGACTCACAGCATTACAGTCACTTAAGAAGGGTTATTTGCCAGTAATGCAGAATATGTTGTGCGCATGCAGATTCCTAGTCCATACACCTTCCTCTCAGCCACAGGGCTCACAAAAATATGAAGATCAGTTCAAAAAGTGCTCCTTGATACTTGCCAGATATCATCACAGCATCCTCTGCTTACTCTTGGAAATGAGAGGAGTCTAAAGCACAAGAGCTTGAGAACGTATATATCTCCTCCTGTGAGTGAGCCTAGCCATAGCAAATCCCGAGAAAAGCAGCTATTGGTGAGAAG